TGAAAGGAAAATGCATAGAAAAAGAGCTAGCATTGCACGTTTAACCACACCTTTAGTCTGGTAAACTAGGCTGATTCGTAGCTTTCTTCCTATACAAAAACTAATTTGTAACAAAAAATTTAAGGCATTTTATTTACTCGAATGTGTTATGCCTTTCGTCAGCGGGCGGATTCAAAATTGGATGAATATCGTACAGCTTATTGCAGTTTACCAACTACCAGAAAAGTTATCAAGCTTTCACCTCGATAATTCGGTAACCGGTAAACCGATACTAAAATAATTTTACACAAACAAAATACATGGGGAAAATTTACCACAAAACTTCACATGCAAACACCGATGGCTTACCAACTGTTATTTTGACGAGCAGTATGATTGCCAGTTTTTGTGTGTGGGCATTTTGATATCTTGATATGTAAGTTAATAATTAATACGTTGTATTTTGTTTCAAAAACCATTCATAAATAATTTAACTACTTTTTTGAAAATAACTATTTGAAATATATTTTGAAAAGAACAAGGTGGGCTGTTACCTGAAATATTCGTTTTCAAAAGGTATTTAAGCAACAGAAAATTTTGTAGAAATTCAGTTTTTGTCATTGTATAGGCTTACAAGTATGGAAAGCGCCATTTTGTTTGTTTACATTTGAAAACAGCTGAGGTCACCTGATTTTCAATTCTCTCATTCTCCGCACAGAGTTACATTGAAGTTTCAGAAAAAACTTTAAAATGTAAATTGAGAAATATTTTAGAAAAATGTGCTTTTATTCATTTGAATTCAATAAAAAATAAATTAAAAATGCGTGCCAAGTCTTGCATTTCCAATAATAACGATAAATGTGTATGTTCTAGGCAATAATTTAAAATATTTGTGAAACTTATCGTTTTGCGCTAAAATACAACAATGTGTGTAAAATTCGTTGTCATTGCTTCTGTTTTGAATATCATATTCGTGCCTGCCGGTGGAAAAAATAGGTAAATTTGCATTTATTTTCAAGAAAACATATGAGTTAAAATATATTTCTTTCCAGAGCGACATACGGACAAGTAAGATGATAAATTTGTATGATGAATATCGCGGAAAAACTTTTGTATCAAAATTTCTATTCTANGCTATTTCATAATTCTTTCATTCTCATGTTATCCATCTTCCATTTCTTACCTTCCATTGCCGTTCGCATCGTCGAACGTGCCTGTCAAACACTGCCGCCATCATGCTTTTCAGTTTGGCAGGCACGTCCGCTGTTAGAAAGAGAATAGACAAAAAGGGGCATAGGATTCCATACTTGTAAGTATATACGATGGTTTTTGTTCAACTTTGAAATTGGAAACTCATAAAATAAAAAGTAAAAAATACTTAACTTGTAATATAAATATATTTTTATAAATTAAAGAAAATGTTTTCCATGTAGGAAACACATTTTTCTAGTTTGTATAAGCATCTCAATTTCGGTGTTTAAAAATTCTTAAATTTTAAAAAGCTTGCTGAATGACTTCCTAAAATGTTATCATAAATAATCCAATAGGGAACAGATTCTTATTTTGATTTAATATTAATATTTCATCGATGTTACCACCAGCACGCTTTCTTCTAAGTAAAAATATGTCTGCCAAACTATCAAATTGCCTGCAATAGATGTCAAGCAATAAGCGCTGACATATATTGCAGCCCATGAGAAATAGGCGGTATGCATTGGAAATATATTTTGTGGCATGGTTATCACGACATTGGCCTTACCGAGCACCGAGTTACCAAGCCCTAATTTTTGTTTTTGAACATAGGGAAAATAAAAAAAATGCAACGCTATGATACTGTTCGTTTATTCCCTTTTTGACGTTTTTCGTCATAGACCATGAATCAAAATAGGAGCGTTCCTTATCTCCCAGAAATAGTCAGAAAAAGTCCGAAGTAGTCAGATTTAGTCCAAAAAGCGTTCCTTAACTCGGAAATGACAGCAAAAATGAGAGAGCAACACTCAGTGAGAGTGAAGCTGACTTCCAAAACGTCAATTGCTTTGCATACGTACAAAGTATAAGGTTCCATAACGTCGAACTACAAAATATTGACAATGTATACTGTTCCAAAACGCAGCCGAAAATTTATCGAAACGCATCGCTGGAGCAATCAGCGCATCAGAAACAAAGTTGATGCTTCGTTTGTTATTGGTTAGCATTGGTGTTTTAGAAATGGAAAATTNAAAGGTTCGTTCAGTGGACGACAATGAAGTTTTGTATGTACGTTGTCACAGGTGCACAATATGTTTTGTAATGCATACAAATTTACAGATTTTTTTATTTTGTATTTGGAAACGTATCAAAATTGAAAAAAAGTATCTCTCCAAATTCATCAATGTATCACTTTTGATCCACTTGGATCAAAACGGCCACACTGCTCTGGATTTCGACTCGATTTCAAATTCAAATTCATTTTGAATCGAAGTCGTTTTGCTATTACTGCTCTACAAACCACACATTTTTTTGCGTTTTCATTTTGTTCGAACATGAAATTCGAAAACATCTGATTTATGTTATTGTTCATCATGGTGTAATAATAACAAGGTGTTGTCAGTAACTTAACCTCACTTTTTCGGCAGGTCTATTCCGGTTACGCATTTTAAGGTAATATAAAAGGCACTAATTATTTACTACTTTTAATCCGTTTGTGCATACTATTTCAAATTAAATGTAGAAAAATGTATAATTACAGGCTCATAAGCCTGAATATATGTTTGTATCGTCAGCTCCACACAGCTTGGACATATATTGTAAGTTATAAAAAAGTAAAGACCGTAAAATAAAGCAATTTCCTATAATACTGTTAATGATTTTTTAAATAGATTAAAACACATAAATATCGATAATATAAGCGAAATCGTAATTTAACCGCTATATTCTAGTGTATCAGTAGTCCATTTGGCTCGATATTATGACAATGCAGCAAAAGATATTCAATATAAAAAAATCGCCTTTCCATACGATTTTTGTGTATGTGTTTTTCCATTGATACCACGATATCTTTTATATTTTATATTTTGAGGACAAAAATTATACAAATTCAGCAATTTTAAATATTAATATCGTTCTGAAAACACCAAGTTCTTTAAAAATCGCGGTACTACTAAATGGAGATTTTAGATACTATATCCCAACGAATAGTAGTATAAAAATTAAGATCGGCAGCACTGAAAATAAGCATGCCGATGTTGTCAAAATTACAACAAACACGTCGCTACTGACAACACCTTGTTATTATTCCACCATGATTGCTCATTATCCATTGTAAAATGAAATGTGTAAAATCAAATGTAAAGATTTTATTGGATTTTTAGAGATAAAAAGTGACAAGTTTTTTAAAAATTCCTAAAACCAATAAATGTAATAAAATTAAATGGTGTTGTTAGCTTTAATTGGAAATACAAATAATGAATACTCCGTTGAAGCTATTCGGCGGCGAATTTTAAGAGACAGCTCTAATCCTTTCGAGCTGAATGAGACGACTTAAAGGCCGGTCCACATAGAACTTTCGCGTTGGCTTTGGCGTTGACGTTGGTTTGACAGAACGCATGTTAAAAGTATGCTTGCTACAATTAAAGCTTGGCAGCGAATGCTTGGGCCACTAAATTAACATACTAACGACAGATAAATTAATATTTCATATCAATAATTGCATTAAAAACGATATTTCTTGCCCACACTTGATTAAAAAGGAAAATATTTATTTATTTGTAACAGCTGACGAGCGACGCACGCGAAAAGTTGAGAGTTGGCCATCTTTTTGCTTTGTGTTGGCGTGAGCGTTGTCGAATTTTGGCTATGTGGACGGCTGCATTTGAATTCATGTATTCATAGTCAGCTGTTGAAGCGACGCCAACGCCAACGCAACGCCAAAGTTCTATGTGGACGGGCCTTAAGTGTTAGAAAATTGCGTTGTGAAATTAATAAAGTACTTACAAACAGTTTATAGATTTGTGTCATAGTTATTACAGAGTTAACAACGACGCATTTCGGATGTTACTGGAAATTATTAGTCCACAAATTAAAAGGTCGTCGATTTCCCCTTGTATTGAGCAGGCGTGTACACTACGACTTTTGGCAGACGGCGGTTTCCAAAAGGCTGTGATGGAGAGTGATGTTGCATTGGGAAGAAGCACTGTTGGCAAAAGTTTAAAACGAGTCCTTGCTATACTTGAAAAGTATGTCTGTCCAGTGTGGATTAAACTAAATATCACGAACTCTGAACGTGCCAATCGAAACGCCACTTTATGCAAAAGTTTGGAATCCCTGGCATAATAGGTTGTGTGGATGGGACACACATAAGGATCACCAAGCCGCATATTGACCCTAACCTTTTTATACCCGAGCGCACTTGTGCACAAGGGTATTATAACTTTGTTCACATAACGGTTGTTTGTAACAGGCAAAACGAATCGAGATAGATATAGACAAATGTATACATAAATGATCAGAATGAAAAAACCACGCCCACATCCCATATAACGGTAATTTAGAAAAATACGAAATCCTCGATAAATCAGTAAATATTAAAGCTAATTTATTCAAAATTGATGGTTGCAACAATTTTTTACCAAGAAATACGCTTATGATATAATTTTGGAAAATGGGCGTGGT